AACTCCTCCTGCTGCCGCTCTCCCTCCTTAGGTGCTCTTGTCTGCAAAGTCTCCGCTTCATCTGGAGCTCAGAGAAAAGGCAATGCAGGGAGGGCTTGAATCCCCAGTTTCACACCTGCCAAACATTTGAGAAACCAAAAGAGGTTGATTTAAGCTCTTCCACCTGGCGACTGCTGAAATTAAAAGTTCTACTCCCCCACCCCCACCCTCCGAAAAACCAAACACACAATTCTTCTACTTATTGCTATGCACTATTACTTATATTGGTGGGAGGCGGGTGGTGCTGTGGGTTAAACCACAGAGCCTAGGACTTGCCGATCAGAAGGTCGGCAGTTCGAATCCCCGTGACGGGGTGAGCTCCCATTGCTTGGTCCCTGCTCCTGCCAACCTAGCAGTTCGAAAGCACATCAAATTCAAGGAGATAAATAGGTACCGCTCCGGCGGGAAGGTAAACGGCGTTTCCGTGTGCTGCTCTGGTTCGCCAGAAGCGGCTTAGTCATGCTGGCCACATGACCTGGAAGCTGTACGCCAGCTCCCTCGGCCAATAAAGTGAGGTGAGCGCTGCAACCCCAGAGTCGGTCACAACTGGACCTAATGGTCAGGGGTCCCTTTACATTTACATTTATTACTTATAGTTGGCTCCTTATCTCTCTCGCCCTGACCTAGCCACTGTGATCCAGGTGACGGTCACCTCCAGACTGGATTATTGTAACTCGCTCTACGTGGGGCTGCCCTTGAGACTGACCCAGAAACTCCAGCGGGTGCAGAATGCCGCGGCGAGACTCCTTATGGGGTCTTCACTGCGTGATCACATTCATCCGGTACTATACCAACTGCACTGGCTCCCGGTGGAGTACAGGATCAGGTTTAAGGTGCTGGTTTTAACCTTTAAAGCCCTATACGGCCTAGGACCCTCGTACCTACGGGACCGCCTCTCCTGGTATGTCCCACAAAGGAACTTACAGTCTGCAAATAAAAACATCCTGAAGATCCCAGGCCACAGAGAGGTTAGGCTGGCCTCAACTAGAGCCAGGGCTTTCTCGCAGCTCCAATCTGGTGGAACGCTCTGTCACAAGAGACTAGGGCCCTGCGGGACCTGACATCTTTCCGCAGGGCCTGCAAGACAGAGCTGTTCCACCAGGCCTTTGGTCAGGGCGCAGCCTGACCCCTCCTCTGGCAATCTGCACAGAATTTTGCTTAATGGTTGCCACCAATTTGATTTTAATTAAATTTTATAATGAAATGTTTTTAGAATGTTGGATTATTTTGATTGTTGTTAGCCGCCCTGAGCCCAGCTTCGGCTGGAAAGGGCGGGATATAAATAAAATTTATTATTATTATTATTGTTATTATTAAGCACCATCAATGTACATAATTGATTCCCAGCTTTCTGCTATCAGCTTGCAATCTGGAAAAAACTTGCAATGTAGAACAACTAATATGATTTGCATACTTGGGACCCCATAACAAAAGACACTGCTAACAGAAGGTTTCCCCAAAGCAAAGACTTGTTTTCCTCAGGACTGCAGCAGAGGAAAGGGTGCCATAGCTGTCAACGTTCCCCTTTTTTTAAGGGAAATTCCCTTATTCCGAATAGGATTCCTCGCAAGAAAAGGGAAAAGTTGACAGTTATGAAGGGTGGGTCTTCACATCCCCCTCCCATGCCTGCTCGATCTCATTGATATTATTAGCTCCAACTGATACAATTTCCTTTTTAAAATAAAAATTAAAAAATACCCTGCTTATTAGATTCAGGTGCATTTATTTTCACATCCAATTTGGCCCTTGGTTTTGCATCAAACAACATCATCAAAATGCAAAATGCATCAGCCATCAACTTTCTCTGATTTTCTCTGCAAAATCTTAACAACAGCAATGGTCAGCCTCCCCTGACTCTACATTACACAGACTTCCTTTCGGCTATGGCAAATCTAATTAAATTCATTCCGTATACTGTCCATAATTGAGTTGGATGCAGGCCGAAAATGTACTGTACTGAGAGCACAGCGAACAGGTTAAAAACACTCCAAAAATGCACAGGCATTGCTGGCAAGATGCAATACTCTGAGGCTATCCTAAAAGAAAATTATGGAGAGGGTGGCAGGTCTCTGATTTCAACGGCCTACTTCCTAGTATATATATAAGTGGTGAAGAATCGAAAAATGGTGGCTGTCAGCAATCATGAAGAGCTCCGTTGATGGTGAAGGCCAGTGGAGGGACCTCTTCACCCGCAGCCAGACCCTCTGTAGCAAGGCAGATCAGGGGTATGGATTGGTCTGTAGGTGAAATAAGAATATTTGCATACCTTCTTCTGTATTTTCACCATCTATTTTTCTCCGGGTGTTTTGGATTTTAAGTTGGGGAGGAGCTCGCTGACACGGATAGTTTGGATGTATAACAGATCCTCCAAGTGTCCCTATTTTCCAGGGATGTCCCTAATTTAGAGAAGCCATCCCGTTTTGTGATTTGATCCCGGAATGTCCCACTTCTCCTTAGGATGTCCCTATTTTCATTGGAGAAATGTTGGAGGGTATGGAATTATCCAACCCCTCAAGCTGTGTCAAGGCAATCCTGTATAGGGAAGTTTTTAAAACAGTTTAATGTTTTATTATGCTGTGTGTGTGTGTGTGTGTGTGTGTGTGTTGGAAGTTGCCCAGAATGGTTGGGCAACCCAGCAAGATGTGTGGGGTATAAATATTAAAATTATCATTATGGAACGGGACGTCCCTATTTTCATCAGAGAAATGTTGGAGGGTATGGTACAAAGCTTCCAAGGTGTGGTTGGGGGGAAAACAATGTTTATGGGATAAGGAGAAGCGTAATAAGGAAAAGCAAGGGGATGTTTCCTGATGCGATAAAACTCATCATATAGAATCTGCATATAGATCTATAGTTTTATGGGTCTTCCCCCATAGAGTGTTAAGTGCACCAGTCAACAGAGCTGCCCCTACTATTAGGCAGAGTGAAAAAGCTACCTCAGGTGGCAGGTATTAGGTATCAGGAAATAACAGCAAGGTGTTGGGGGGCAGAGTGCATGTATCTCACGGCCTGCCTTGCACCCCCTATACTAGCCTTCTGCTCTCAGGTAAGATGGAGGACAATGTCTCATCACCAGCACTGAGAGTAAGACTCAAGAGTCAACCTTGTTGGCTTCTCTGGGGGGTATGGGTTGGGCGCCATCTTGTCCTCTGTCTCAAGAAGCAACATGAGTTGAGCTAATCTTGCCAGTAGACAAAATTTAAGTCTCATGGATTTAAATGAGATTTAATGCTGCTTCAGATATAATGAATTCCCTCCACAGAAAACACTTCCATGCAGGGAATTAAAACATCAGCCACGCCGACTGTAAATGTGATAATTGCAAACACATCTATTTTTCTGTGTGGATACCTGCTGGGAAACCTTGACAATCTGTGGTTTCTCTGTGTCTTTATAGCAAAACTGCCTCTTCACACTTTTTCCTCTTGTTCAGAATTGCTTTCCATATTACAAATTCGTGTTTCAGGTGATTCTTCAGCACAACTCACTTCCCGGGCTTTCTTCTTCTTCTTCTTCTTCTTCTTCTTCTTCTTCTTCTTCTTCTTCTTCTTCTTCTTCTTCTTCTTGGCATATCCAAGCTAAAGATTTAAACTAAGTTTAAGAACTATTCCCTTTCGCATGGAATCCTGGGAATCATCATTTGTGGAGGCTAAGAACCTCGAACGAAGAATTCTTAGTGCCTTATGAACTACAGTTCCCAGAATCCTTTGGGGCAGGGATGGAGAACCTCAAGCCCCTCTCTCTGTCCCTCAAGACTCACTGCACCTCTTTTTCTCCAGACCATGCCCTTTCCTGACCAAGCTTTCTGCCCTCCTTGAGAACTTTTGCCTGGTTGGGATGTATCAATGAGCAGCAATACTGCCTTTTGCATTGCCTGGATGGAAAGATGTGTACATAGATAGAAACATTTAATTTTTGCATGGCTGGAATGTACCCCACCATTCAAAGAGGAACAGCTGTCTAGGTTAGAAAGTTCAAGTTCAGCAAAATTCCAAAGGGTAAAGCCTGAATTGCTGGACAGAATGGAGATTATTCAGGTTACAGCATATGCACATTTGCCTATGGCCCTGTCCACTACTGGTTTGAGACCTCCAAAAGGTTGCCTGTGATGTAATGTGGACCCCGAGTTGAAAAAAGTTCCCCACGTATGCTTTAGGAAAAGCCACAAGAGGTAAAGTTGTATAAATCTGATATACAGTGGTACCTCGGGTTAAGTACTTAATTTGTTCCGGAGGTCCGTTCTTAACCTGAAACTGTTCTTAACCTGAAGCACCACTTTAGCTAATGGGGCCTCCTGCTGCTGCAGCGCCACTGAAGCACAATTTCTGTTCTCATCCTGAAGCAAAGTTCTTAACCTGAAGCACTATTTCTTGGTTAGCGGAGTCTGTAACCTGAAGCGTATGTAACCTGAAGCGTATGTAACCTGAAGCGTATGTAACCCGAGGTACCACTGTATATTGATAATGTAGACCAGGCCTCCGTGAGCAGAACTCATGATCTTTTATTATCAACTCTTTTTTTATCATCCACATTTCCTTTTCCAAAGCTTCCTGCAAATTTGTTGACATCAGAGAGCTGTTCTGCTTAGTGTAATGTAACTGTGCACTGAATGTTTTCTGTACAAAATTGATCCAACTGATTACAGGAAAAACCAAATGGAAAGACTTATTGCCTATTTTTCTTTCTTGCAGATAAAAATAGTATGGAAGCAAAGCTGCATGAAATAGTGCCAATTAACTCATTCACTACAACACACACACACACACACACACACAAATCTCAGACCTTTTTTCAACCAGAGATAACTGCTCGGAAATTTGTCTGCAGTACCCCTCAATGTTAAAACAAAGAGAGAACATTCATCAGCTTTGCTCTACGTTTCTCTGACATTCTCACGGTGCAGTTCTTGGCAGTAACTACTGATGCTTATTTATTTATGGCTTACTTATCGGGGAAAGGCCGTAGCTCATTGGTAGAGCATCTGTTTTGGATGCAGAAGGTCCTAGGTTCAATCCCTGGAAACTCCAGGTAGGGCTCAGAGAGATTCCTCCCCTGAAATCCTGACTTTCAGCCGGTGAAGGCAATACTGAGCTAGACTGTCTCACTCAGTACCTGCAGCTTCCTATGTTCCTATGAGAGGAGTAGGAATGAGGAGGCAGGTGATGCCTGGGGACATTTAAAGGGATTGGCAGCAACCATCGCTGCTCCTTGGCACCGTGAAGTAACGCCTGCCAGTTCCCAGCTTAGCTGCTGCCACACTGGGGGCGACCTAATTCAAATCCCTATTCCTTCTCGACTCTCTAGCAGCGCCCTCGCCTCCTCCCACAGCAATTTCGACATCCAGTTCAAGGGCAGACAACTGACGAGTCCCAAAGCGAGACGCATCCAGCATTCATCGCCTTGAGGGAGGTTCTTTCAGACAGGCGGGTGCTCCAATAACGCAGCACAAAGGCATGGAGTACAAAAAAAAAACCCACAATGAAGTCCTTTAGGCTGAGAAACTCCAATGGAATTCAAGCTGGGGACACAGGGAGGCAAGGGAAGAAAATAATTTCTGTGTATTAAGCCAGGAGGGGAGGGAAGACGACTTCCTCGAAATAGGAAGCTCAGCAACTGTTTGCCCTGATTTGAACATGACCTGCCTTTAACAATTTCTTGTGGGGAAAGCGGGTGGGCATGGTCTGTTTTTAACGACAAACAACATTTAAAAAAAGATAGACAGCATCTTAAAAAGTAGAGACATCACCTTGCCAACAAAGGTCCGTATAGTAAAAGCTATGGTTTTCCCAGTAGTGATGTATGGAAGTGAGAGCTGGACCATAAAGAAGGCTGATCGCCAAAGAATTGATGCTTTTGAATTATGGTGCTGGAGGAGATCCTTGAGAGTCCCATGGCCTGCAAGAAGATCAAACCTATCCATTCTTAAGGAAATCAGTCCTGAGTGCCCTCTGGAAGGACAGATCCTGAAGCTGAGGCTCCAATACTTTGGCTACCTCATGAGAAGAGAAGACTCCCTAGAAAAGACCCTGATGTTGGGAAAGATTGAGGGCACAAGGAGAAGGGGATGACAGAGGATGAGATGGTTGGACAGTGTTGTTGAAACTACCAGCATGAGTTTGACCAAACTGCGGGAGACAGTGGAAGACAGAAGTGCCTGGCGTGCTCTGGTCCATGGGGTCACGAAGAGTCGGAGATGACTAAACGACTAAACAACAACAACAACAAATTATTTGCACAGGATAGTGCAGCCTAGCGCAAGTGGCTTTTACACTGCGTGGAAGCTCAAACATAATGCCTAAATTAATAGTTAGGGAGACATCGGGGAAATGAACTGTGGCGTGAATGTAGCCTTAGATGGATTGGAAACATCCATGGATGGTGGAAAACAGGTCTTTAGCTAAATAGAACCTCCACCTTTAAAGGCAGGATGCCTTATGAGTATGAATTGCTTTGTGGCAAGCGGCAAGAGATGCTGTTGTGGGTTCCTTCAGTAGCATCTGTAAAAAACAACAACAGGATGATGGTCAAGAAAGAGCTTTGGTCTGATCTAGCAGGTCTTTCTGATGCTCTTGAGTGTGGTGTGGTGGTTAAGAACAGTAGACTCGTAATCTGGTGAGCCGGGTTCGCTTCCCTGCTCCTCCACATGCAGCTGCTGGGTGACCTTGGGCCAGTCACACATCTTTGAAGTCTCTCAGCCCCACTCACCTCACAGAGTGTTTGTTGTGGGGGGGGAAGGGAAAGGAGAATGTTGGCCGCTTTGAGACTCCTTAGGGTAGTGATAAAGCGGGACATCAAATCCAAACTCTTCTTCTTCTGCTACTGCTGTTGGGCTGCCACACATGTCTGGTGGGTTGTGATCAACTTGCCGCAATGCAACTTCTGAAAACCTAGTTTGATAATAGTGCATGTTCAGCAAAAATATAGAAAAGACACTCCCCGCATTTAGTCTTGAGGTGTGGCGAAAAACCAGAATCCAGGGTTTGCCTCTGCAGGCAAAGCAACAGGGTTCTGAGGCCAAACTACACATTACATCATTAAAGTGTTCTCTTTTTTTAATAATGTAATGTGCTGCTTGGCCTGAGAATCCAGACGCTTCACCTGCAAAGGGCAAAGAAAAAAACAGCCCTGGAGCCTTGTTCCAAAATGTGCTCCCAATCTGGATGGGGGGGGTGAGCACCTACATAGGGGCCCTTCTTCAGATGTCCACATGGATGGGATTCTAATAGCAAATTCCTATGCTTCTTTGCTGAAGTGTTCTCTGGTCATTGGAGAAATATTGGAGGGTATGGCACAGCATCAAGGTCAGAGGGAGTACAATCACTGTGAAGCTTTCACCACAATTGGATTTCCATTGGAGACTCTTTGGGTCCTGGCCTGGGGCTGGTCCACACTTCTGCTTGTCTGATGACTATAAAGCATGGGTCCCCGTGGTTTTCTGCTTCTTCCTTCCTTTCTAAGCACAAGTCCAAATGGTCTTGCCTTTGCAAGTGCCTTGCCACTTCCCCCCTGAAAACCTGCTCTTTAGTGCTGAATCGGAGCAAATGTCAATCTGGAGAAAACCCAATTGATGTTTGCGCCAATATTTATTTATTTATTTATTTATTCATACCCTGCCCATCTGGCTGGGTTTCCACAGCCACTCTGGGCGGCTCCCCACAGAATATTAAAAACACTATAAAAGATCATTCATTAAAAACTTCCCTAAACAGGGCTGTTTTCAGATGTCTTCTAAAAGTCAGATAGTTGTTTATTTCCTTAACATCTTATTGGAGGGTGTTCCATGGGGGGGGGGCACCACTGCCGAGAACGCCCTGTGCCTGGTTCCCTGCAACCTCACTTCTTGCAACAAAATCGAAAAAATCCTTCCAGTAGCACCTTAGAGACCAACTAAGTTTGTTATTGGTATGAGCTTTCTTGCAGTGAGGGAACCGCCAGAAGACCCTCAGAGCCTCAGTGTCCAGGCTGAACAATGGGGGTGGAGACGCTCCTTCAGGTATACTGGACCGAGGCCGTTTAGGGCTTTAAAGGTCAGCACCAACACTTTGAATTGTGCTCGGAAACGTACTGGGAGCCAATGTGGGTCTTTCAGGTCTTGGTTATATGGTCTTGGCAGCCACTCCCAGTCACCAGTCTAGCTGCCGCATTCTGGATTAGTTGCAACTTCTGGGTCACCTTCAAAGGTAGCCCCACGTAGAGCGGATTGCAGTAGTCCAAGCGGGAGATAACCAGAGCATGCACCACTCTGGTGAGACAGTCTAGGGACAGGTAAGGTCTTAGCCTGCGTACCAGATGGAGCTGTCAGACAGCTGCCCTGAAAACAGAATTGACCTGCACCTCTATGGACAGGTGTGAGGCCAAAATTTTCCCGGGGGAAAGCTGGGCAAGCAGACGTGTGGATGATCCCTTGGTCCTCAGCCCTGTTGCCTAGTATCATCTTCAGAGACCTAATTTGCTCTTCAGCTCTGCCTCCAGGCTTGAACTCTGGTTTTGACTTACTCTTCGTTCCCATGGCTTCTGGAGGTGCCTCACCTCAGACTGCAGCCAATAGACCAACCCTGACAAGGTCAGGACAGCGACCGTGGTCACCTCAACTGGTTCATTGTTCATACGTGAAAAGGGCCTTAGATATCTCGCTGTGTTTAAGCCCGCAGCTTCCGTGTAATGCAATCACGACATTTACTGCCTTGTGAGACCGGCTGAAGGTCAAATCACAGGCGGACACAGCACTGAGGAGCCGCAATCCCCCTCTTCCGCTCTGAGATCTTTCAATACGTAAACGAAAACAAAAGCTCCTGAGCTTTTGCTGCAGTGAAGAGCCATTCATTATTTCTTGGGAGACTCCTTTCATGTTAGGAACATCATTAATGACAAGAAATTGGATTTGGAGAAGCAAACAAAGAAGCAGTCGATGGTTTTGTTTTTTGGGGGGGGGCTGGTTTTCTCCTACATGACACAGCCTCACAAAAACCAAACAAACAGAAAACTCGGCACAAAACCCCCAAGAGAAAGAAGGAGCAAGAGCCTAAAAATAGATTCAATAATACAATAAGTGGGTAATGAAAGCATAACAATGCACTCGAGATAAGGTTCGGCTTCTGTTTCTGTTATGCCACCTACAGTCATATCTTACAACGTCTCCCAATTTATTTGCTGTTATTGCTCATTCAAAACAGAAAACGGGGAGGAAAATAGAACACAGATATTGTGGGGGAACTGAACAATAGCATGAATTATGATTGTGCATCTAGGGGGCTTCATTTTCGCATCTCACTTACACTTACTAGAGTAAATCAGATTTAACGCAGCTCAGTAGAGTTGCTGCGGCAGACGATTTCTGGAACAGAAGGGTGCTAGGTGACCACCCGGAGAACATGCATATAATTTTAAGTCTCCCGATGTGAATGAAGAGGCAGACACAGCTTCTCCTGACTGTTTCAGGCACCCACCCCCGGACTGTAATTCCCACCCCTGCAGTGCCTGCTGGTCAGAACATCTGGAGCCCTGCCCATTATTGCAAGAGAAGAAAGGACTGGCAACTGGAGGAGGAAGCAAGTCATGAAGAGCTGCACCTCCCTCTTCTTGGGCAGGAGACTGATTGGCAGGAGACTTGAGACAGATAAAAGGAAGTACAGTGGTACCTTGGGTTACATATGCTTCAGATTACATAAGCTTCAGGTTACAGACTCTGCTAACCCAGAAATAGTTCCTCGGGTTAAGAACTTTGCTTCAGGATGAGAACAGAAATCGTGCTCTGGCGGCGCGGCAGCAGCAGGAGGCCCCATTAGCTAAAGTGGTGCTTCAGGTTAAGAACAGTTTCAGGTTAAGAATGGACCTCCGGAACGAATTAAGTACTTAACCCGAGGTACCACTGTACTTCACACAATGCACCATCCGTTTATGAAATTCAGCACCACGAGGCAGTTGTCTTCAACCTTGAGTCCCCAGATGTTGTTGGACTACAACTCCCATCATCCATGTCCACTGGCTAAGCTGGTTGGGGATGACGGGAGTTGTAGTCCACAAACTT